AAATAGGTAAGACATTTCTTTTTAAAGTGATGGAAATGGTCTAAAATCAGATTGTGGTGATGGTTGTATAACTATAAATATACTAAAATTCACTAGATTGTACACTTAAAACAAGTAGATTTTTTTGTTATGTAAACTAGAGGGCCGGTGCACGAATTTGTGCACTAGTGGGGTCCCTCAGCCAAGCCGGTGATCGGGGCTAATCAGGGCAGCAGGAGGTTGGCTGGCCGGCCGGGAGGGGGGGGGTAGGGCCCAAGGGAGTTTGGCCGGCCGCGGGCGGTTGGCTGTGGGAGCACACTGATCACCAAGGGGAAGCTCCTGCATTGAGCATCTGCCTCCTGGTGGTCAGCATGTGTCAGAGCGACCTGTCGTTCGGTCATTTGGTCGCTTAGGCTTTTATATATATAGATGATATCTCAAAAAAAGCTAACATAAAAAAAAAAACATTGTGGCTTCCACCTTGCTCTGTCTTCAATCACTTGTTCTGGGGGAGTTAGCTGTAATATCATGAGGACATTCAAGCCGTCACATGGGGAGGTCCACATGGCAAGGAACTAAACTACACACAAGTGATCTGTCTTAGAAGAGGAACCTCCAGCTCCTTCATATGCCAACAGGTGACTTCAGTCCTGGCAAACAACTGGACTACAACCGCATGAAACCCTGAGTCAGAATTATCAAGCTAAGCAACTCCTCAAGTCCTGACCCACAGAAATCACGTTGCTACATATGCCACTAAGTTTGGTGGTAATTTGTTACACAGCAATAGATAACGAATACCCCTTTCTTAACCCTCTCCTTGGTGTTAAGCTCTCTCCTAATAATAGACACCTAAGGAAATGTTTTCCCAGCAACGCTTCACCCTATCCACATGTTTATTGTAGTAGCTTCATGTTAGTAGAACTTGATCCCATTCCCTTGCCTTAGCTGAATAATCCAGAATATAGGGTACCTGACCAGAGCCAGGCCAATAAGCTCCATCCCTGAGATTTTTAATATCTGAACCTAAGTAAAAGGCAGTGTCTCTCCAGTATCTGAAGCTGTGAGATGTAAAACTTGGGGTCTGTCTGCAGCCATGTTCTTTCCCAGGTTAGAAAAGTGGGACTGAAGAATAAAGTCATCATTTAGAGACAAAGATTCAAGATGGAGGGAGTAGATAAGTCTCTGGTTCCAGTGGGAACCCTGTCTCTCCAGTGGGAAGAACATATCTGTGGAAGGCCATATCTGTCTTATAAACCATCATCTAAAACCACACTTGAAACATAAGCAGTAATAAAATTTTATTTTTTATATATTTTATTTTTTTATTACTATTTTTTCAAGTTCTCACCCAAGGATAGTTTTCCATTGATTTTTAGAGAGAGTGTAAGAGAGAGAAATATTGATGTGAGAGAAACACATCGATTGGTTGCCTCCTGCACGAGCCCTGACTAGGGCCTGGGCTGGGGCGGAGCCTGCAACTGAGGTATGTACCTTTGACCTGAATAGAACCCGGGACCCTTCAGTCTGCAGGCCAACGCTCTATCCACTGAGCCAAACCAGTTAGGGCAATAAAATATTTATTGAAAAAATGAATGGGTAAGATAACCCAGCATCCTTCTAATAATACCCCCTCTTTTTGTTGCTATTGTGCAAGAGTTAGATTTGATTATTTGAAGCCTAAAAGTCCTGACCTCTTTTTTGCTACCTTTACACTCTGTATAATCCTTTATTATTATACTTTCTAGAGGCCTGGTGAACGAAATTTGTGCAGGGATGGGGGTGGGGAGTGTGCGGGGCAAGTCCCTCAGCCCGGTCTACACCCTCTGGTAATCCGGGATCCCTCTTGCAATCCAGGACCACTGGCTCCTAACTGATCGCCTGCCTGCCTGCTGGATCACCCCTAACCACTCGCCTCCCTGCCTGATCGCCCCTAACTACTTGCCTGCCTGCCTGCCTGCCTGATCGCCCCTAACCGCCTCTGCCTGGGCCCCTGCCACTGCGGCTTCATCCAGAATGACGTCCAGAAGGTCATTTGGCTGTCTGGTCTAATTAGCATATTACGCTTTTATTATTATAGATAATGTATTCTATTTACTGGTTTACATGGTCTCCTCCCCTAAAACCAGAGAGCAAAACATGTTCTTAGTCATTTTTGGTATCATCACTACCATCTAGTCTAGAAAACGAACTGCTCAAGAAACGCACGTTTAACTGATCTAATCAATTCTTTACTTTTCATTCTTCGGCTTTTGTAGTCACTTTCATCAATTTATCAACCAGCTAATATATCCAAGGTACTTGGAATACTTAGACTTAGTCCTGGCTTTTCATCCATTCAATGAATTCATTCAACAAATGCATACTTACCATATGCCAGGGGCTGAAAATTGACATGGGATATGATCAAAGAACAAGGTCTCAAAGACCTTACAGTATAGCACAGACAAATAAATTGATTATACAGCATGTGTGTTAGAAGTTATTAAAGAGATATGCATAGGCTGCTAAACAGCAGCAGGGATTATGTGGAGTTCACACTCTACTCCAGAAGACATGTACAGAAAAAGATGATAGCCTGGCAATGTGACACAGCCTGAGCACCAAATGAGTAATTTGTTTTCCAAGTTACACTGAATTAATTCACACACTTAAAGAAAAGATACTGTTATGGAGTGATTTTCAGATTTCTATTCAACCAACATCTCCTCAGCGCTTAATATGTGCCAAGCAACCCATTTAGCACTTTTCCAACGGGGTCTTATTCAAGTTTCACATTTTGTAGATGAGAGAAGTGAGTCTGAAAGAGTGAAGAGACTTGTCGAAGGCTACATAGCGAGTAAGCGGCAGAGCTGAAATTTAGAATGAAGTCGTCTTCCAATTCCATGTCCAGGTATACTCTGCTACTTCGGGCTACAAAACCGAAACAATTTCCATGTCCTTGCATGTGACTTTTATTGCCTTTTCATTCATCCTGTGGCACACAACACAGTTTTGGGGCACAAATGGGCAATCACCAACTGCTGACTTGATATGGCTATATACTCGTCCACATTTTGAGAAGCAAGGGACCACGGTCAGATCAGATTACTTTGGTGCCTATGTAGTATCATGTGCCAACAGGAGCACAGTTGGCTGACGATGAGTGAATTCTTCAAGTCATATTTTAACAGTGTTTTTGACCACTATATCCGGTCAGTTGTTCCAATGTTCAGCAAGAAATCAAAATGAATTGTTCATTTCCGTTGACAGTTAACAGCACTAATGAATTCAGTATAATCTCACCATCCATCAGAAAAATTTCTGAAATGCAAACTTAGAGCTGATGATTCACACAGTACAGAAAGGGAAATAAAGCAGTCCTCATTGTTTTCTACAAAACTAGCATTGTTTGCAAAACCCAGAAACTGAGCAGTTGGTTGACTACTAATAACAAGTAGGTTGCTCTTTGGTCATTTAGCAAAAAGCTGCTTGTTGTACCACGGTCAATGGCTGAGGAGCATATGACTTCAAGTAGCTTTTGCTGTACAGAGCAATCCTACATATAAAAATCAGCAAATTGTTATGTAAGGCAAGAAGAAGAAATTCAAAATCTTCACACTAGAAAGCACATGACACTGAGCCTGGCACAAATCAGATATTAATATTGAATAAATGCTTACTGAATGAATACTTTAATCGCCATTTGAAAACATCAGTTGTCTATTAAATCGAGAGAGAAAAATCAAACCAACCAAACCTACACAGGTTATGTTAGGAACTCAAATAGACTATAGAGTAACTGGCTCAAGATACATAAATTCACACACAAAAATTATGTGTAAGTAAGCATCCATCTGACATCCTCTTAAATTAAGTCACCA